TATGTTCGTAGCAAAAGGAAGAACAAAGAAACAGTGGGGTCACTCAGAGGAGAAGATGGTGAAATGCAAACAGGGGACACAGAAAGGGCTGAACTCCTCAATGCCTTCTTTGCCTCAGTCTTCTCCGATAAAGAAAACAATGCCCGACCTGAAGAATTTGGAGCAAATGATTCAGCAGAGGAAACACAGCCCAGAATAACTAAGGAGATAGTACAAGAATACTTGGCTAGTTTAGATGTATTCAAGTCTCCAGGGCCAGATGAACTGCATCCAAGAGTATTAAAAGAACTGGCAGATGTGATCTCAGAACCACTGGCAGTCATCTTTGAGAATTCCTGGAGAACAGGCGAAGTCCCGGCAGACTGGAGGAGGGCAAATGTTGTCCCTATTTTCAAAAAGGGGAAAAGAGAGGACCCAAATAATTATCGCCCAGTCAGTCTGACATCAATACCAGGGAAGATTCTGGAGCAGATCATTAAGCAAACAGTCTGTGAGCACCTAGAAAGGAATGCTGTGATCACCAATAGTCAGCATGGATTTCTGAAAAATAAGTCATGTCAGACTAACGTGATCTCGTTTTTTACAGAATTACAAGCCTGGTAGATGAAGGGAACGCAGTGGATGTAGTCCTACCTTGATTTCAGCAAGGCATTTGACAAGGTGCCCCATGATATTCTTGTAAAGAAGCTGGTAAAATGCGGTCTTGACTATGCTACCACTCAGTGGATTTGTAACTGGCTGACTGACCGAACCCAAAGGGTGCTCATCAATGGTTCCTCTTCATCCTGGAGAAAAGTGACTAGTGGGGTGCCACAGGGTTCTGTCTTGGGCCCGGTCTTATTCAACATCTTTATCAACCACTTGGATGATGGACTCAAGGGCATCCTGATCAAATTTGCAGATGACACCAAACTGGGAGGGGTGGCTAACACCCCAGAGGACAGGATCACACTTCAAAATGACCTTGACAGATTAGAGAACTGGGCCAAAACAAACAAGATGAATTTTAACAGGGAGAAATGTAAAGTATTGCACTTGGGCAAAAAAAAATGAGAGGCACAAATACAAGATGGGGGACACCTGGCTTGAGAGCAGTACATGTGAAAAGGATCTAGGAGTCTTGGTTGACCACAAACTTGACATGAGCCAACAGTGTGACACGGCAGCTAAAAAAGCCAATGCAATTCTGGGCTGCATCAATAGGAGTATAGCATCTAGATCAAGGGAAGTAATAGTGCCACTGTATTCTGCTCTGGTCGGACCTCACCTGGAGTACTGTGTCCAGTTCTGGGCACCACAGTTCAAGAAGGACACTGACAAACTGGAACGTGTCCAGAGGAGTGCAACCAAAATGGTCAAAGGCCTGGAAACGATGCCTTATGAGGAACGGCTAAGGGAGCTGGGCATGTTTAGCCTGGAGAAGAGGAGGTTAAGGGGTGATATGACAGCCATGTTCAAATATATAAAAGGATGTCACATAGAGGAGGGAGAAAGGTTGTTTTCTGCTGCTCCAGAGAAGTGGACACGGAGCAATGGGTCCAAACTACAAGAAAGAAGATTCCACCTAAACATTAGGAAGAACTTCCTGACAGTAAGAGCTGTTCGACAGTGGAATTTGCTGCCAAGGAGTGTGGTGGAGTCTCCTACTTTGGAGGTCTTTAAGCAGAGGCTTGACAACCATATGTCAGGAGTGCTCTGATGGTGTTTCCTGCTTGGCAGGGGGTTGGACTCGATGGCCCTTGTGGTCTATTCCAACTCTATGATTCTATGATTCTATGAAATATTAAAGATCACTTTCAGACATCACACAGAGCTCACTTGATCTGTGGTCACTGTGAAAGGTACTGATAACATACCCCATTAAAACCAATTGTGCAGCAAGCAGAGAAAGCGAAAGTAATGAACTATGATCATTACTTTCTTAAATAGGGATGTGATGTTACTGTTTTAATTGTTTTGTCCTTATTGGGTGGGATGCACTGGGTTAGTTAATTACTCACTGTAATTTCAGTGAGAGCTATCTTGTCCCACTGATTTCTATAGAATCCTAGTTCAGCTAGCTGAATATGGATCCAACTGACTGATTGTATGTAAGTCACTTTGTTAGCCTTGTCTGCTGATGAGTAGGATAAAAATGCTTCAGTTGTTTAATTAATAGGATCGATGCAAGAGCCATGCCCCAGTGATTCATGAGTTTAGGAAACATCCAGGATATTTCCCTAGTGCTGCTACACAAGACAATGCAACTATAAGTGCTTTGAACAAGGAAGTCTGGGATAGCTCACTCGGGTAGAGCATGATATAGGGAGCCAGAAGTGAAAAGGCCCTTTCCCTTGCCATCACCCTCCAAGCTCCTGCCTTAAAACCCTTGAGAGCTGCTGTCAGTCTTGTAGATGACACTGAGCTTGATGGATGGGTGATCTAATTCACTTTAAGGAAGCTCCCCAAATTTCCTAAATTATTTATGGGGCCATCCACAGATGGGGCAAATGATGAATCTTTTTGCTTTTAAATGCACACACATTGGGTGGGGGGAGAGGACATGGCTAGTTGAAGGGGAGAGAGGTTCAGGCAGGTGTTGCAAGCAGTGCCAGAGAGCCCAGTCTGGAGCCCAGCCCCACAGGGGTCAAAGAGCAACCCGGATTCCCCCCACCCCTTCATGGCTCCATTGTCCTCTCACTTCAGCAGGTCAAGTTCCCTGAAGCCTTAGCAATGCAATGCTCTCGCCTGCCGCCTCCGTCTCTCACATCCCTTCTTGCTTCCTCCTCCTCCTTGGGCAGGGAGCTGGCAGGAGCAATGATCCATAGGAGAGCCTTGGCTGGCCAGGTTGGGGGTGGCCAAAGCTGGAAGGAGACAAGAGGGAGGATTCACACACCCCTTCCATCCACGCACACAATCACCAGCAGTATGATTTCCATGTCTGCTTGGGCCTGCACCCAGGTATGCCCTTGCATAAAAAGTGCTTTCTTGTTAGGTTTTGTCCTGAATCCATTGTCAATCTTATTGGGTGGTCACAAGTACTAATCCTGCCCATTTGGCTCACTTTCCCCAGCCATTCTGAGTGGCTTCCAGCACATATAAAAACATAATAAAACATCAAACATTAAAAAAATTCCAATACAGGGCTGCCATTCTAAAAGTTGTGTAGTTCTTCATCTCCTTGATATCTGATGGGAGGGTGTTCCACAGGGAGTGTGCCATTGATGAGAAGGCTCTTTGGCTGGTTCCCTGTAACTTCACTTCTTGGAGTGAGGGAAACACCAAAAGACCCTTGGAGAAGGACCTCAATGTCTGGGCTGAATGAGGGAGGGGGGGAGAGACACTCCTTCACTTATATTGGGCCAAGGCCATTTAAGGCTTTAAAGCACGAACACTTTGAATTGTGCTCGGAAACGTACTAGGAGCCAATGTAGGTCTTTCAAGACCAGTCTTATATGGTCTCCGCAGCCACTCCTAGTCACCAGTCTAGCTGCCACATTCTGAATTAGTTGTAGTTTCCAGGTCACCTTCAAATGTAGCCCCATGTAGAGCACGATGCAGTAGTCCAAGCAGGAGATAACTAGAGCATGCACCACTCTGGCAAGACAGTCTGCGGGCAGGTGGGGTCTCAGCCTGCGTACCAGATGGAGCTAGTAGACAGCTGCCCTGGACCCTGTCCCCCCAAAACAGTACTTCTGTATTGTTGGGATTCAACCACAATCCATTAGCTGCCATCCATCCGCCAACCACCTCCAGACACTCACACAGGACATTCACAGCCTTCACTGGTTCTGATTTAAACAAGGAGTAGAACTGGGTATCATCTGCATACTGGAGAATACTCAGGCATGCATGATTGTGGACTATGATTTAGGAATAAATCCTAGTGGGTCTTAATTTCAGCAATCACCATGTTTTCTGCTGCAATTAACTTGATAGGAAACACCAAGAGAAACCACCACACACAAAGTTTTAAAGCTGGTGAATATTTTCTTACAAAGAGATTATATATTCAACTAATCAGCATTTTGAAAACAAAATGTATTTGTGGAATGTACTTTCATGCACTGCTGTGGAATTTAAAATGCTCTGAATCAAGGGGCCTTCATTCCGTATTATGACCGGATCCTATGCTCTATTTTACTACTTATATTTTACTACTAATCATGTTCTCACATTTATGAAATACGTTGTTTGTAGGACATTGGTTGCAAGCTGTGCAATTGACTTACAGGGCAATCCTGGGTGTGTACACTCAGAAATCTCATTAAATTCAATGGGACTTACCTGCTAGTGAACATGCTGCACATTGTTCAGGCTGCATAAACATGGGAATTGTAGTCTACCCACTCATACAAACCCTGGGAACTGTAGTCTACCCACTCATAAAGCTACAGTTCATGGCACCCTTAAAAACCAGTTTGCAGGATTCTTTGGGGAAAGTGGTGAGCTGTACATGCGCTGCGAGGGAGTAAGCCCCATTAAATTCAGTGGGCCTGATTCTGGGTAGATTGGTAGAACAGTGGCAGGTGACTGGATTTGACCGGCGGGCACAATCCAGACCTGGCCCATTCTGTGCAGGCCATTTTGTCAGGAAGGAAAGAGGATTCCCCACTCTGTGGGTATAGCCAGGATTTTTGTTGGGGGGGAAGAGACCTTTTGTTAGGGGGAATAGAAGCTCAGTTAGCTATGTCTTTTTATTGATTGGGGACAGAAGAAGTGAAATCTGCATGGTCATCGGCATCATCTTCATCATCTGTTTATTTGAATGTGACTTTCTCACAACTCTGTGCTCAGTTCAAAACGAAAAATGAAAATAATGTCAAGTAATGCATAAGATAAATCCTCCCAATGTTATGTGAAATAACCTAATTTAACAGCTTAACATTTAGCAGGCGAGAGATCAATTCCCCAAACAGAAATAACATTGTGAGATCCGAAACTGGGGGCGGGGAAGGGGGAGAGGTGACTTGATTCCACGGGGAAGTCGCGCCTCCTCCGGATTTCTTTCCCCCCCCCCCCACCTCATCCCAGAAGGGAGGCTCGCCTCGCTCCAGGGGGAAGTTTGTCTTCCATCTCGCGCCAGGAACGAGGCGTCGCTCGTCCGACCCGCTCAGCTCTCCGGGCCGAGAGAGAGCGAGCGAGGGAGCCGCGCCCGCCTGCGCGCCGCTTCTTCCTCCTCCTCCTCCTCCTCCTTCCTTGCCTTCCGCGCCCGAAGCAAGAGCCGGCCGAGGGAGAGCGCGCGGCGGCGACGCGATGGCAAGAGGCGCTGGGAAGCAGGTGGTGGCCCCTTAGCGCGCCTCCTCGGGACGATGGGGCCGAAGCGGCGGAGTCCGAGGAGCGAGGCGGAGCAAGGCGCCTCCTCCGAGCAGGAGGACCTGGGTCGGCGAAGGAGCGCCAGCCGGGGCAGGTTTGCCGAGTCCTGGAAGAGGCTGAGTTCCCGCCAAGGCTCCACCAAGCGCTCCGGGCTGCCCTCGCAGCCGCCGCCGGTAAGTGCTGCCCGGAGCCCCGCCGCGCGAAGGGGTCTGGGAGGAAGCGGCGCCCGGGCTGGCGAGAGGCGCGGCTGCCTTCGGGGCTTGGCGCGCTCTTGGGCTGGGCGGGGAGCGAGCCTGCCCCCCCCGCCCCGCCCCGCCGGCCTCAGCTCGCCTCCCTTGGCCAGTGCATTTGGCCTCGGGGTCCTGGAGCTCCCCGCCGTCTCTTGCTTCCTTGGCTCCAGCCAGGGGTGCTCGTGTGGCTTGCAGGTATTGGCAGTCTTCCTTGCAGGATGGGGAGCTCAGTCTCGCTCTCCGAGAGAAAGAAAGTGCCCCAAACTCAGCAGAGAGAAGTGACATTCACTTGTTGCTTCTTGCCTGGGAAAAACATTGGCTTAGCTGTTTAACCACTCTATGAAAATGAGCCCCCTCCTTTTATTTCTGTGTTCATGTCAAGAGAACATGGCTGTGGTTGTTGAACTGGTGGCAACATTTGCGCGGATAGTGGAGCAGTCTTCCAACCCTGCTTTGACTATGCAACTTGTTTTAACACATTCTGAACTGTAGTGTGTTTCTCTTAATCTTGCTAAGTGATGCATATTCATTTTGTCTGCCACTGCTTGTCACGTGAAAACATTTGGAAAGAGAGAGGCATTGATGCTTTGTTTCTAAGGTATGGTACTTGTTTCTGGGGGGGGGGAAACTGACTTACTGGAAAAATGGCAGAACATTGAGTTCCATGGAATGTTAAGGGAGTATATTGGTTACAGTGGTTTTTCTATGCAGATGGGTAGTATATGAAGCCACCTGGAGTTGAGGTCATTCTGAAAAGGTCTGCAGTTTAGGAGAAGAGCTGTGGCTCATGGGAAGGGTGTCTGCCTTGCATGCAGAAGCTGCCAGGTTCAGTTCCTGGCATCTGTCTCAAACCGCAGAGCGCTGCTGCCAGTCAGTGTGGGCAGAGTGAGGGGTATGGAAGTGGATTAGCAGCTTTGCAAAGTTTGTTTAGTCTTCTTATCTTTTTAACATATATTAAAACCCCTTACTCTTTTTTTCTTAAAGGATTCACTGATTTATGATGGTTGTGCTTCTGATTATTATTTTTTAAACACAATTGATGGTTGAGCGGGAAAGAAAACACCAACAGGTTGCAGTAGGACAGTACTGAGAGAATATAAAGGCAAAGGGGGGAACTTGATGTAGAGTGGGTGCCATGACAACCAAAATCTGGAGAAGCAACTTGATTCTGACACAAACAGATGATGCAGAATAATAATAGTTATACGTATTTTTGTTAAATCTGTATTATCCTTAATCTCATGTGTCATACAAATAAGTACATGAAATTGAATATTTGACTTTATAGCTGAATTTCACAGGAAATTCAATAGCAACCTGTGACATATAGCGGTAATAGTTATAAATTACAATATAAAAAGCTGTGATATCCATCTGAAATGGATGTTGGAAAATGGCAGCAGGTTGTCATGATAAAGGGGGTGATGTGTGTGTGTGAAGGCACATTTATACCCTTTGCAGCATCTGAGTGGGTAAGGTGAGGGCAAATAACAAAAAATCTGTAGAGAAAAGTTGAGACACAAAGATTCAAGTGCCATAAACATACTTAAAGAGAACTAGCGTGCTAAACTTCTTTTTTTATGACACAGTTGGTGTTTTCGGATAGAAAGAACAGTTTCTGGGGAAGAATGTGTGTTTGCAAGTGTTACCAAAACGGCTGGAAAAAAATAGACAGAAAATATCATCAAATGCCAGGTAGCATCAAAATAGCTAAGGTGTTTATAGCTGTATCATGAAGAATAATACATTTCCAGTATATGAAAAAGGTCTGCAGGCTGAATAGGGTTTGTCTCCATCATCTTTATTCATTTATGTCCCTTGTTACATTCCATAGAAATGTAGTCCTGGCCACTCTGAAACATGTCCCCAAACCAGAGTATTTTAATTTTGCTTGATTCTTCTGATTTTAAAATAATTTTTGAAACTTCAGTTTAAACTATAATTTAACAAAGCTAAATTATACCTAACCAAAGGGATTTGAATGTGCTAATGCTACCAAATGTGGAATGAGGACCCTAATCCAGATTAGAACTGTTTCATTGGAGATACAGATATAGATAATACGCACAAGTCTTTGTGAACACAAACAGACTACTGAAAAGCAATGAGGCATCAGAACTGTCAGGACCTGGAATATAACATGGTACAGATTCCTTCACAGGGTAGGTTTCCCTCTGGTTTGGATACAATTTGTAGTCTCGTTATCCCAGGACCAAACTGGATGAGACACTTCCTGTCTTTCTTTTTTACTTATTTCTTTAAGCAGCTCAGGGCACAATCTATGTAATTGTGAACAGAATGATGGGGCAGAGTTTGTTAATCTCCCTTCTTTGCCATGTTATATGATAGGGGAAATGGCAGCTTGCTGAAAGGGATTTAGATTGGAGAAAATGGCCTGCGGGGAGTTGAACTTCCATTAGCACTGTGTTCCACATCCTCCTCCTCCTCCCAGTACAGCACCTGCCTTCGAAGCAAGTTTAAAGAGATAGAAAATCCTATCAGCAATCCCATTCTTATCTGGTTTGGCCCTCAGCTGTTCCTAATCCTTCTCTGTTTCTGCATCACTGCTCTTTCCTTTTCTGATTGTGATGGTTATAGTGCCACTATCCATTCTGGCTTGCTAAGTGCCCTTGATCAAGCAAGAGTAAGCATTCAAGCATGCCCAGAATGTTTGTGTCTAGCTGGTATCTAGGTCTCCCCTCTCTGCCAAAACTCCTTATGTAGTTCAGGAAATTCTTTTGCAATCACTGCCAGTTCACCAGCAGCAGTAAAATTGTTTTCTCTCACATGCTTATTTAGTATAGAATGTTTAAGACTGAAATGCGAGGTACCTTACAGTGGAGTAAGTAAATCCTATTGAACACTTGTTTTTAATTATGATTAAATCTGTTTAGGCTTGTGATGTACAGACCTGGAAAATTATATATCACACTGAAATCAATGGGTCTTATTTCAAGCCAAACACATGTAGGAGTGAAGTTTTAGCTTTTCTTGATCTAGTTGAAGAGCACAATCAGTATGAAGTTGTGCTTTTAAATCTCATTGATTGATACTTGGATGCTAGCTACTACAAGTGCTAATTGCTGCCTCACTGCATGAAAGCAATGCCTTTCTCCTTGTGCTGGAGAACTTCAGGTTCAAGCCTGAGTATTTAAGGCTCCTGTTGCATTTCCGTTCGCCAAGGGAGAGTAGGTGGGTGGGTAGATTGGAAAGGGTCTTTTCTGGAGCTGTGTCCCCATTCTGAAACTCCATTTTTAAAGAAGGCTGGTGTTGGCCACATATTTGCCTTCTTTATGCAGACTGTAAACTCTTGTTTTACATGGCATTTGGTGGATTTTAAGTTTTGCTTTCTGCTTTTAATAAGGCTTTGTTCTCTTTCTCTTAGTGTGCTTATCTGTATGAGTATATTGTATATCAATAGGGACATGGGTGGTGCTGTGGTCTAATCCACTGAGCCTCTTGTGCTTGCCGAATGGAAGGTTGGCGCTTCGAATCTGTGTGATGGGATGAGCTCCCCTTGCTCTGTCCCAGCTTCTGCCAACCTAGCAGTTCAAAAGCACACCAGTGCAAGTAGATAAATAGATACCACTGCGTCGGGAAGGTAAATGGTGTTTGCATGCACTCTGGCTTCTGTCACGGTGTTCCGTTGTGCCAGAAGTGGTTTAGTCCTGCTGGCCTCATGACCTGGAAAGCTGTCTGTGGACAAACGCCGGCTCCCTTAGCCTGAAAGCAGAGATAAGCGCCACACCCCATAGTTGCCTTTGATTAGACTTGATTAGTCCTTTACCTTTACCTTTTACCTATTGTATATCATGTTATGGTCAGAAAGATTCATAATCCTTCTCATAAATAATTAAACCTATGTCATAAGTGGTTTTTATACATGTCTCTCAAGCCACTCCTAAGTATCACTTACTCAGACACTAGTGCCTAGGTATTGTGTATACGTATTGCAGCTTTAATCTATGGCCCAATGAGAAGATTTGGGGCATGTTGGGAATCCGTAGCTGTGATGACAAAAACTCAGTAACTCTTTGAAAGCTTTTTAAATGGCTGTAATTTAAATACTTGTTGAGGAAAAAAATGTCCCCCTTTTGCCCTAAGCTCTGCTTTATTTGGGGTCTGTCATATGCATCTTTTGATTATCCCCATTGCTTTTCTGATTGCAGCTTTTTCTCATGTTCTATACAGGTCAGTGAAACAAACAATCCCTTGATTTGTAAAGAACAAGGGACAAGGGTTTGGTGGCCTCATTCAGAATTCTTTCTGGCTACATTGAAGAACCACAGACTAAAACCATGGGTGGTAAACATGCAGCCCAGATGCCACAAGCAGGACAAGCACTGATAGCTGTGGAAAGACCCATGGGCTGCTATTATATGGTAGTGGGGCTGCCTCACCTTGCAGTCTTGGCTGCAATAGTCTTCAGAGGCAAATGTGCTTCCAGGCATGGCTGGCCTTGAGTTGTGGCATCACAAAGGTTGGCCACCCCTGCAACTAATTGTTCTGACGCATTCCAATTCTATCAAATTATTTTATCTAAATACCATGACTTGAGGATTCGGATTCAATTTTAAACAATTAATTGGAAACTTCAGTTTGGTCTGATTCCATTTTTGGAAGGGCCAGTTTAAGCTACCTCAGAATTCTTGAAACCAACCATAGTGATTTGGATTGAAAAATAATCTATGGAGAAATAAAAAGAAACCCAGTTTTTGCTCCAGAGAAATGAATAATGATAATATGAAAGAACTCATACTAAACTGATTAAACATTCCTTTAGACCAGTCTGCAACAGTAGCAGATTCTGGAAATTTTCATATGTGCTGTTGAGAAGTGATTCTTTTTTTGTTTTTTGTTTTGTTAGACCTTGGTTGTAAAAAAAAGCAGTTGTCTATACTCACAGCAAGCACTTTCCTTTCTGTTGTCCCTGTACTTCCATT